TCACCTTATGTTTAAATTTAGAGTCCTTCATCACTTGGATATTCAATTACTTTCATTGGCATGTGCTTTATACATCGTATGGTACTGAAAAGGCTTATTGCTGTCATTATATGATATAATTTAGGGATATGTTAACAATATATTCAAATTTGGGCCTACATAGTAACTTCATATTGATTGTAAATTAATAAATTATTAAGCGTTGAACGTTATTCTGTTTCCTTTTTGTTGAAGCGTTAGGAGTTTTTCTATATCCAAGATCACCTTATCTTTAATCCTGGAATCCTTTATCACTTTGATTGTTCAATTACTATTATTGGCATGTGCTGTATAGATCGTATGGTACTGAAAAGAAACATTTTTCAATTTATTGTTTCACAGTATGATCGCCTAGGAATTCTAGTTCCTGTGATCGTAAGGTTTAAATTATTTCTTCAAAAATCTATGGAAGAAAAATAATTCATGTGTTCAGATTGATTGTAAGTAATGAAGATCAATAAGTATAATCAAAATCAATAAGTTTGGGAGACTTTTATTAACGATAAGACGACACATGTAGGACATGTAGGACAATTACCTCGATTTATAATCACATGAACATTCATACTAACATTCATAACAATATTTACTGATGCTTCGAGTATGGCTTACGTAACAATAATTTTTATATATAGAGAAAGAGAACCATTTCCATTTTATGCCAAATTCCGTATTGGACCCATCAAAAAAATGACCATAACGCAATTAGAACTGCTTGCCATTATCACTGGAGAACGAGCAGGGCGATTTTTGCTAAATCAATTAGGCTTAGAAAACGCAAAGATAATTTATGGTGATTTATTAATGGTGATTTATGGTCTGGTTCCAAGTGTGCATTATTCCGAATTATATCCAAAAATTATCCAGAATCGAGTTAAGGATATTCGAAGGTTATAATTTAAAATTTTAATTTAAAAAATTTTCGTTACATACTTGGTGACAAAACCCAGTGGACGTGGTTACAAGAGGACTTACTCCTACAAAATTCAAAAATTTTAATTCTTGGTAGTATGGACCATCATGGTTAAAAAGGAATGCGAGTGGCTATAATGAGAGTTCCAAGCACAAGAGCATGAAGAGCATGAAGAGCATGAAGAAATGGAGAAAACTCAATGGGTTGATGTAAAATTAACACAACAATTATCCAAGTAACAACAATTACGTTCATAGATTCAGTAAATACTTTAAATTAATCAGAGTAACCATTTTGACATTCAAATTCATCAAACATATAATAAAAAATAGATTCCAGTGGTTAAATTTGATCTTAGATTATCTTTTATATATATAATAATGAAGAAAGTAAACAATTAATTAGACACAGTTTGAAAGCACAGTTTGAAACTATCAGTGATAGTGATAATGTAGCTAAATGGAATTGAGTCCAAACGGAACTCGAGTAAACAAAGTAAATAGGTTATGAGATTATCATCTGATGGGAGTTGGTTGACAATTTTAGCCAAAGGAAATCCTGTGATATATCTTTGATTGTCGTTGAGACCAATCTGAAGAAAATCACCCATTAAGAGAAATTTTTCTTTCCTTAGTCTCAAGAGCACTGTGACTAATTGAGGAATGAATGATGGACCTTTACAAAATTGGTCGTTTACCATGTATTGGTTGAGGCATCAAAGGCAATTCGCAATTTTGTTTGCTGGGTATTATTACTGGTAGGTAGGGGATATAATAAGTCGAATTTTATGTCTCGAACAAAACCTTTTCAATAATTGGCTCTTGACCCTTTATTATCAAGTCGTATTGATTTTTTAAGAAAGAATCTGGTCGTATTGATCTTAATTTATTCCAAGTCGATCTCAGTCTGCCTAGAGCCGATCTCAGTCTGCCTAGAACCGAAATTGGAATTTATTTTGGGTCTTGGCTTTTCCAAGACCAAGAAATAGAATGTCTACCTGATCGATCTCGTTTTATTGTCTGCTTAAACTAATCGTATGTATCCATGGCTTCTGAGGATTCAAGGGAATGACAATGCTTTGTCTAAAATTGTCCAAAATTGTGAGACGTCTTCACGACTAATTGCAGTGAAGGACATTTTATTAATAACTCTAATATCTTTTTGAGATTTAGAATTAAAAGAGGGGACAATTGTCTTTCTTGCAATAATTGTGCATAAATGGGATGGGGTCACATGTAAAGCCGTATGGGAGTCTAATATAATTGAGGCATATTTTAATAGATTTTAAAATAATAATCGCATCCGATTAATGTATCGGGGGAAGCGATTTTAAGCGATCTTTGAGTTTTGAGTTTTGAGTTCGAATTTGACTATTGAGTTTTGCCTCGTTATATATGTTTTTATGGATATATTTTATGTGAGATGTTAATGTCAATTATATCTAGGAATGGAAATAAATAGAGAGCCTTTATTAACAATAAGTCAACCGTATAGGATCTATAATGATTTGGTTTGATAGCTACGAAACATAAGACTGCTAATGTTTGTTGGCCTTTAAATATTAACTTGAGTTTGATTTTGACGTGTTTGTAATATACGTTTGCTGGCTTCCTGAATCAAACAGCCAATGCCTTTATGACCTTAGATGGATTCTTTGAGATTGAATATTTCCACTTCCTAACAGAGCAGAAATATTTACTGGGCATTTTGTTTTTTGTTCTTGATTAATATTATTTACTTCTATTATATCGGTAAGTACTTCTATTTCTATTTCAGGGTCAGGAAATAATTGCTATTATTGATTAGTATCTCTGAGTAGAAATGATTTATTTGGCAGAGAGCACTATATTGTGACCTTGATGGCAATAGCGACATGAAATTTTTAGTCTATATTATCTTTTAAGTGTCAGACTTAAACAAATAAGGTAATGTTTATTGTCATTTAAAAATTCCAATCTCTTTTCTAAGGTATCGAATGTTTTATATACTGATCACTCTAGTGATTATTTTAACATACTTTCGGGCAAAAGCTTTAAAGAAAAGAGCAGAAGATCTAGAGAATGATTCAGAAGCGGTTTTGGATGAAATTAACAAGTTAAACGTTAAACGTAAATAATATTTGAAATCAAGCACATTATAGAAGAATATCCTTGACTGGATTTGTCCTTGATTGGGATTGAATTTGCCCTTAGGAACAACGACTTGATAGGTTTTGAAATTAAAATTCAGACGGCGGCGATAAAATTGATTTGGATCATTGATTTAGCCTAATAATTATTTATTTTATTTTAAAAATTAAAGACTACCTTGATAGTTGTCGAATCCAAAATACCAATAGCCACTGAGTTTCTGACTATGTAAAACATAGATAGTAAATTATTGATTATAACATAATATGGCCTGCAGAAGAAAAATTTTTATAAGTATATACTGTACAATGTATACTGTAAATTATCCTTTATGTTTATTGACATATAAAATGCAAAATCAAATCGTAACCAAAAAATCGATTAAAAAAATTTTCATTGGCGTGTAGTGGTCACATGTTTAATAAATTTGAAATAATAGAAAAATCTCATTTCGCGACAAATATTTTACTAACCTTCTTTTATTTTATTTTATTTTTCTTTTGTTTTGAAGTTATATTTGCGTTATTGTTAAAACCGAAGATTGTTCTGGAAAATATCGTGAATTAATTTCAAATTTACCTTCTGCTGTTTCATAATATCGAGAGATCGGCTTCTTTTAACTTCTTCATTTCTTTGAATCAGTTTCACTTGAATCAGCTATGAATTTCGCTATCTCAATTTATTGACCATACTTCTTGTTCTTCTTTTTACTGATATTCTATCCAGAACCCAGGCGGGCATTCAAAATTTTCGCCTATTGTTTCAAGTTGTCGAAGTATTCTTTCTATAGTTTCGACTGTTTTTTCCATTCTTAATTATCCTTCTTGATGGAAATTATGACTCATTGTAGAGCGTTTTTTTTAATGATGTGCGATTGCCAAAATTTTTCATTAAGGACCTTTCATCATTCATACGCCACAACCCTAAATTTTTTTTGAATTGTTTTCCATCTCCCTTTAGCAACTAAATAATAAAATAAATAATTTTATTTTTAGATGCGTGGTATGTTTTGTAAATAGACTGCAACTTCAAAGCTATCCCAGATTCCTCTATACAATTTAACATTTCTAATGAAGATAAGCAGTGGTAATTGGGATAAGTTAGTAAGTTGAATAATGGGTTATTCGAGTTGGTTGCCCTTTTATTTCGTCTTGTTTAAGGCCTTAAGCACCAATTCGAGCTATTTTCATATATATATATATATATATATATACGTGACCTTCATTCTACCTTTATTTTTTAAGTTTAAAATATCTTTATTTTCGACCATATTTTCGACCATATTTATTTTCCTTTCATTATTTCTTTGTTATTGGAACGTTATTTGAACTTGTTGTTGAATGTTGTTGAACTTGTTGAATGTATTGAATCCAATTAGTATTAATAATTCCGAGTGCCAATAAGTAGCTTAAGACGAATTATTTTTTCTTTAATTATTCTTCTTCGAACCTCATGTAGTTGATGTTCTTCGAACCTCGTGTAGTTGATGTTCTTCGAACCTCGTGTAGTTGATGTTCTCTGGTTAGCATTTGGTCCAACGATGTCAGATCCATTCCGTTAATTTCCTTGAATAAGGTTTCCAGTTTCTTGCCAGTTGTGCGTTTAGAATTAATTATAAGTGCAAATAGTTCCTGACTCATGACACCGATAAATTTATATGGAGAAATTAAATTAAGAGGAAAGATTTAATACATGGAAGGTCTGGTGAGAATTGACAGGGAAGAATAATTTTAATTTTTTAAAGTCCAAAACGAACCAAACTCGAATGAAGAACTTCAATTTTTATTCTTCTTCTATTCTATTTTCATAAAAAAAAACTGTCAAGTCTCTCTTCCCCATATACATAGACCTGTGCCAGCGCATGCTGATAAAATGCTTTTATGAATAGAATGATCTTCTCTGGGATATCGCCACATTCCATTACTTTTTATAGCGCTGGTCTATAAAGTGAATCTGAGGCAGCTGCAAAATCGATGAAGAAAATGACAGTGGGTTGCTGGTATTTAAAGCGATGTCCCAGCACTTAACGTAAATATCTGGTCACCACAATCGTGTCCCGCTTGGTTGGTCTCGATTATGACCATGCTATAATCTCTCTAATCACTTATTTTTATCGTAGTCATCTAAGGATAAAATTGGAAAATATACAATGATGTATAATGATGACTAAAATATTGCAGAAATTTCCTTTGAAACGCGCATAGTCCATACGGTCAGTTTCCATTCAATAGAGTGGATAGAGTCTTTTCAAATATGACAATCGCTTCGCCATTTTGCCCCGAATTACCAGACACTACAGTGATATTGACATATCTTTGTTTGTAACCAGGTTTAATAATAATTCGAAGACCGACATGTACCTGCGACAAACCACATGCACGCTGCATTTAGAAAGGCTGTAGGTAGTGATCGCTTGGCTTTCAATATCCATAAGCGTTTTGATATTCCAAGCAGCTATAGCCAATATTTTACCACACTTACAACATGGATAGATTCTCGTTCCGCTGACGGATTTTGAGGACTTTTGAGGACTTGAGGACTTATTTCAGTTCGCAAACAAACCGAAATTATTATTTCTATGTATACGCCTTGGAATTTTATTATTATTACCAATATCCAATATTATATTCGGATTGTATATTTATCACATGTACCACCCGGATGGCTCCTGTGGACCTACCTGTAATTCTATCCCCAAGTGATTCTGTGGTGAAAGGGTTAGAAACAGTTGATACGGCGTCCACGTCTCCCAACGCGCATGATATTTCGAGCCCCGGTGGTACACGCGATAAGTAAACAATCCGAGCTTAAAACGATCCCAAAGCTGGTAAACAAAATATGCTCTCAAGCCAGGGTAATTACTCGAAACCTATCAAGCACTCTGCACAGCCCTCTGCACGTACGGCGAGGTATTAGCCGTATCAGTGTGGAACGTGGAACGTGAATGTTGCAAGCCAATCGATCACTCTCCACACTCTAAGTATCGTGTGGATATCGTTTGCTTGTCGGAGGACCATCATCCTCACTTTGGGTCTCAAACAATTATTCATCCTCGTTCAGAGATACTGGCTATATCATTTATACTGTGCTGCTTCAAATAACTCGGGCGTAGCGATTGTCATATCCTTTCCGCTTTGACTGAATGGAAACCAGTAAATGGCCGTATGGTCTGTGCTCGTTTTGAGTAAATTCTGCAATATCTCGGTCTATGCTTCAACTCTATCGGCACATGACCGTGATAAAAACAAGTTCTATGCGGAACTTTAACTGCTAACAAAGTCTTAACCGAAACATAAAACATCATAATGACATTCCATTGCTAATTTGCTGATATGATATGATATTTTCTATCTCCTTTTCGTTAGTTGAATCGTTAGCAGAAATAAAAAATAATTCGCAAAAAAAAATCAGGAATATTTTTTGAAACGACGATTGAACAAAAAAATTTTTTTTTTAGATTAGCAAAATATTAATTAATAAGATGGAATGACGACACATATTAATAATATTAATGATCTTCACTAATGAACATTTATGAATCATTAGTCAATTTTCCATTTTCAAATAAGTTTCATAATTCATAATTCAACAATTCCCGAAATATTTCAATCTTTTCCCCCATTAACTTTTTCAATAGAATTGGGTCATAAATATTTCGATAAAAAGAAAATATAGGAATTTTACGGATTAGTTAGTATATGAATGGCCACATAATTTCTGGATGAGATAACTTGGCTTTGAGTTTCTATTGGCCATAATGTATTCAGCAACAACTTCAGCTTTTCGATAGTCAAACCAGCTAGTCTGATTTCATTTAGATGGAACATATTTAAATTCAATACCTAGTTGTTAAAAAGTTTTCGTGATATTTTCATTTCATTTCATTCTAATTTTCTTTTACAAAAATATTGATTAGGTTTGCTCCGCTAAATTATTTGGCCATGTAAATTTAACCGAAGAATTGCCTTGCGATGGTAACTATAAGATTTTCTGCCAGATTTTCGAAGGATTTCTTAGAATACTTTCTGCAAAGGAAGAAAAAAGTTCGAATACATGCTGAGACTTCAGCATTGAAATTATAAGTTGAGCAGTAATAAGTTATTATAATTCACTGAGCCGCTATATTTATCTTTCATTATTATCAAATGAAATGAAATGGTGGATCAGTCTTTTCAAGCCATTTATAGGAAAGGAAGGTCGTGAATTTTCAATCGACAAATTTTTTTAATGTTCACATTCATTTCCTTTCTCTTTAATTTATTCCACCACATTGATTTTATTATTTTATTATTTTATTCTTTAATAATTCAGATATTCAAATTAGGAATTCTTTTAATATTTCATTGCTAGTTCCTCCACATAAAACCGTGAATATTTTTAAATAATGTGTACAACACTATGAACTAGATATCCATTGATAAACTAATATATTAGATGTTTTATATTTGATTAATAAGGCGATAGGAAAAAGAAAGATTACACGTAAACTCTATATGAAATATAGAGTTATTGTAGTGTAGTGAAATATAGATGAATGCATTAACGAATTTCCTTACACATTTCTCTTTTTTCTTCGTTTTCCCAATTGCCATTCCTAAATGATTACCAATGAATGAATGAAGGTTTAGAGTTTAAGATGGTGAAGGAAATGGAAATAATTTTCTCCATTCTTTACCTTTTATTTTCTCAAAAAATGTGTCATCTCTAGTATAATCTTTGGTAGATTCGATGGTCTCGATTCTCGTTTAAATCAGCAATATTTTCTAATTAATTTAGACTAATCTTATTTCAACTGAAAATTTTGTTTTTTTTTCCATTTTTCTTAAAAGTCTTCAAGTCTTTAAATCCCTTTTCTATATGATTGTACCTGCAAGTAGTATTTGAACAAAAACGGATGCGAACGGATGTGATATTTCATTCGGTCGAGGTGTCCATTAATTTCAACGTGTATTTGTTGATAAGAACTGTGCAATTTTATAAAGTGTTCATATATTCAAGTGAGCCATAAGATCGTACGAATCATGGTTATATAGATGCAGACCTTTAATGGTAATTGCATGACGGCTCGTTTTAACCACATTTCTAATCCGGACTATAATATCGTCTTTTGTTTGGCCATCTGGTATTAGAGTGGACCCAAGGTATTTGAAGTCGGATATAAATTTACAAAAAGAGGTATTTTATTAGCTTCTTCCACATAAGACGAGAAGACTTTCATTTTGTGTACATTTACCATGAATTCTATTCTTGCTGCAGTTTCTGATGCATATTTAGCATTACTTGCATTTCGTCATAGTTGCCAGCAAAAAGGACTACATCATCAGAGTATTCAAGATCTGTGATACGATACTCTGGACTGATTTGAATATTCCTTGAGTACCGACAAGTGATGTCCATTACCCAGTCTATAGTAGAATATTGTAGAGGAAAGAACAGAGGAAAGAACATAACCTTGACGGATACCAATTTTTTTTATAATTTATATATTACAATTTAATCAATTTGTATTCATTTATATTTGTATTTTTATATATTTTATTTTATTTATTTATATTTAATTTGTATTTTTTTAATTTTTTTTATCTTTATTATATCGGTCATTCAATATTCAATATACTTTACATCAAAATCAATATTTTTTTTCAATATTTGGAGAAAGAAAAAATTATTAAGAAATTATTCTCGATTTATTTTGTTTTACTTGGAAATTATTTCTGGTAATAATTTAGCTATACTCAGCTAAGTTCTCTTAATCCTGTCTAAGTATCGTGTGGATATCGCTTGCTTGTCACAAGTCCGTCTTCCTCACTTTTGGTCTCGAGAAATTATTAATCCTGGTTCAGAGCAGAGATACCGGCTATATCACTGTGGTGCTTCGAATAACTCGGGAAGAAATGGCGTAGCGATTAACATGTCTAATAAGGCCCATTCCGCTTTGATTGAGTGAAAACCGGTGAACGACCGTATGGCCTATGCCCGTTTTAATGGTAAATTCTGCAATATCTCGGTCATCAGTGTCTATGCTCCAACGCTGTCGGCAGATGACCGTGATAAAGTTCTATGCGGAACTTCAATTGCTAGCAAAGTCTCTACCGAAACATGACATGATCATAATCGAGGGAGACTGGAATGCTCGCGTAGGTCATAATGCAGCTGCGATGACCTCAACAATTGGCAGATATGGCATCGGAGATCGGTATGCCAATGCGGAACGTCTTCTTCGTTATGCCGAAGAGCATGAACTTTTTATTACCAATACTTGCTTCCGGCATCATAAAAAAACATCTAATCACGTGGAATTCCTCGGACAACCAACCAGATTGATTATATCTTAGTCAATCGCCGGAAGCAAATATTAGTAACAAAAGTTCCGTACTAGATAGTCGTTCCTATCGCGGAGCTGGAACGGGCCAATCTTCATGGATCTGACCATGTTATGGTTCGAGCCATGATCCGCATAAAATTGACAACTCGCCGAAAACAGCATCCCCCAAGTTCTTTCAACTATCTCAAACTAAAAAATTCGGGGAGCGCATTTCAAACTGAATTATTGAAGCATCTCAATGATACAAATATCAATGATTTCTCTGGAACGGCAAATGAATACTGGTGCAAACTAAAGGAATGTCTCCGAAAATCGGCCACTTCCACGCTAGGGCATATTAGTAGGAAGTGCGCTAGTTGGGTATCGGAAGCAACTGTCCAATTGTCTGAAAAAGCTGCCAAGGCACGAATGTCAGCTGATCCTGACTACCGAGTGCTTCGAAGATTTGCAACGAAAGCAGCAAGGCGGGACAGAAATCTCTATTGGAGTGACATGGTCTCAAGAATGGAGGCGGCGGCTCGATTGGGCGACAATAGGAAACTATTCTGCCTTTTTCATAAAGCAATTATGACTCGGTCAGTGAAATGGTAAGAGACAACAATGGCGTTCTAATTAAAAGTATTAAGGATCGCCTCATAAGATGGAAAGAATTCTTTGAGGCCAAACTTAACCATGAAGCGCCATCTGTTGCCCCTGATATAGCTGATAAGTTTGCCGAAGCATACGTTCGCAATTGCGAGCATTCAACAAAAGAAGAAATAATCTCAGTTATCCATAAGCTTAAGGCCAACAAAACTCCAGGAGAAGATGGTCTTCGGGCTGAGCTTTTCAAATGCTGTCCATTGTCCTTCATAACGCACCTTCAACAAATGTACTCTCTAGTATGGAAAAAGAAATATTCCCAGATGATTGGAGCAAAGCAATTCTGCTCCCAATTTTCAAGAAAGGTGATAGGACATGTTGCGACAATTATCGAGGAATCAGCCTATTAGACGTCTCAGCAAAAATTTTTGCTTCCCTGCTACTCAACAGACTTATGGAACGAGACAGCAGGATGCGCCCTAATCAAGCTGGTTTCAGACCAGGGCGCGGTTGTGCTGACCAGATATTCACGTTAAGAAGGGTGTTGGAACGTCGCTTCAAATATTTGCAACCCACTGTCACGTGTTTCATCGACTTTGCGGCTGTCTTTGTTTCAGTTGATAGAGCGGCGCTTTGGAAGGTGATGGAACGTGATGGTGTTCCAGAGAAAATCATTAGACTCATAAAGGCATTTTATAAGAGCACGTCGGCGTAGGTTTGTGTATATGGGGAGCTGACAGATTCCTTCGAAATAAGAACAGGTGTCCGTCAGGGCTGCGTCCTTTCCCCCACAATATTCAACTATGAGATAGACTGGATAATGGATACTGCTTGTCGGCATTCAAGAGGTAGATGTATTCTTCCGAATTAGTCCAGAGCATCGTATCACAGATCTTGAATACGCAGATGATGTAGTCCTTTTTGCTGACAGTTATAACGAAATATAAGTAATAAATAACGTATCAGAAACTACAGCAAAAATCGGACTCAGGATCAATGTAAATAAAACGAAAGTCTTTTCGTCTTATGTGCAAGAAGCTGATAAAAAGCCTCTTTTTGTAAATTCATTGCCAGTTGAGGAAGTGCCTGTTTTCAAATACCTTGGGTCCACTCTAATACCAAATAGACAGGCAAAAGATGATATTATAACTCGGATCACGGTAGCTAGAAATGTATTCTTCCGGAAACCTTTATGGAATCATCGTGAAATCACCATAAAAACGAAAGTCCGCATCTATATTGCCGTGATCCTTTCGATCTTATTATATGGTTCTGAGACATGGCCAATGAGAGTGGAGGATATTAAGAAGTTCTGCCTTTGGCCACTCTTGTCTAAGGTACATATTACGGGTTTGCCGAGTGGATAAAATCTCACTACATCGCATCCACTTTCGTTCAAATACCACTTGCATAAATAATGTTATCACTGAACGCCGCCTTCGCTGTTTAGGGCACATTCTCCGTCGTCCACCACATGAGTTGACGCATATTTCGTTATTTGCTAAACGGTTGGCGTCAAAAGCGAGGTGGGCCAATCAAGACCTGGACTGATACGATGAGAAAAGTTTTTGAACGTATAGGTGGACCAGCAATATATGGACTTAGACGATGGAAAAAGGAATGGCTTCCATTTTGTCGACGATGGCATCAGAGCGCACCGCTTGGAAGCGTCTTACCCTTGTAGCCATTGCAGCCAACCTAACCAGTAATGGTGAGAGCTGTTAGAAGAAGAAGAAGTATTCATTTAAGGAATTTGCTTGAGCTCTTTCTAGTACGGATACAAAAAACATTGGGACAAACCAGTAAATAAAGATATTTCAATATTATGTTTTAAATTTTTTTTTTTTTTTTAATTCATTTACTATTGCTGTTGCTTATTTTACTAATCTTATCTTAGCCAATACAATTTATTATATAGAACCATTTCTTACGCTTGCTTTCAAAAATCCATTTTTTCTATTCTTTACGTTTATTTTAAATATGCTTATTTTACAGCATAGAATCTTAATTTTGTTTTAAATATGCTTATTTTTACAGCATAGAATCTTAATCATCCAATTTGCGGTAAACCTGTACCGATTATATTAAAGAATATTACGAAGTAAGCCAAATTTGAATTATATATTCGCCTACATTATTTCTATGTTATTCAGTATATAGTACATAATCAAAATTTAATGCAAAACGAAACCTTCGATCAAAACCACAAAATCTAAATTTAATTTGCAAATATATTCGAATATATTCACTAATTCACTATTTTTGCCCAGCTCGAAAATTATTCATAAATAAATTTTAGGATCAATTGATTTTTTTCTATTTAATTTTTTATTTGATTTTTAATTTATTAATTAATTAATTTATTTTGTTAATTTTATTATTATAATTTAATTAATCTTTTTAATCTAATTATTTAATTTTTTTGTTAAAATACTATCAAAAATGCAGATATATTCTTGAAATTATTAGAATTTTCTTTATATCAACTTTTAAATTAGCATAATATTCCATTTACAAAGGCATTAAAATAAAATAGTTGCATAAAATGATTTTTAAATCATTTTCACACAAAAGTATAATTAAGAAATCAAATAAAAAACAATTAAACAATTCTACAATACAATACTTTTGTCCTATAAAAAATAGTGCTATTTTGCTTACTAAATGCTTTTCTATTTAGCCATGGACTTTACTAAATTGAAAGTAGGAAGAATTTTTCGCTGCGAAGCAAACCAAACATGAATTATATTTTCAGTAATAAGCCGAAAACGTGGCTTAAATTAAATCTCTTCTCCAATGCATGGATCAAGTTGTTCAGGATCATTTATATTCATGCAATCAATCACTGGATCATAGTTTTCCCGAACACTTTTTTTCGTAATGCATACTGCAAAACATATGTGAAGCTTTCGCTTTATACTTGCTGCACAATTTCCTTCTACTGGGACTTCATCGTTCATTGGACAATGAATTGTAAAAGACAATTTGGAAGCTGGGCTTCTTGTTGGTGTATGCATATAATGCAAACATTTTGACGAACATTCTCTTGGAAATAAGAATTTACAGCAATCATCCACTGCAATTTCATTATTATTATTATTTATTTACTATATTTACTATATTATTATTGTTATTATTTATATTAATATTATTTTTCAATATTTATTATTATTTATTGTATTTTATTATTATTTATACAATATTTATTGCTACTGCTTATTGTAATTATTTTTTATTTATTACAATTTTTTATAAATTTATTTTTTATTTCTTTATTTTTATGTTATTACTATTGTTTATTATTATTATTGTTTATCATTACCAATTTTTACCAATTGTTACTATTGATTTATCAATGGAATTGATTAGAATGATATCCCTAAGGATATCAATTCACTTAAATACTTAATTTTAAGAAATTATAGAAGAGTTATTGCTGTTTTTAAATATTTCTAATTATTTACATTAAATGACATTGGATAGCACATTGCCTTTCACTGTTTTTCGTTTGAGATTTTTCAAAATTGACTTTTTAGTGCAAAATTTACAAAAAATTTTCTATATATATATATATGCAATGTGCTTTAGCAAATAGATTTATGAACCATTTATTTTGTTGAAAAGAAAAATCGCGCACATCCATATTCAAAAAATGGCTCATTCCACAGTAATGAATCAATACAAGTGGTAGCATTACGCCAACTTCTTAAATTTTTGCAGTTTTTGATAGGTCCATTTTTGATAAGTTGATATTCACAGCATTCGGATGCTGTAGCGCAACATTTCCTAGCAACTGAAAAATAGAGAAATAAAAAAGAAGGAAAAATTAGAATTCAGCCGAAATATACTCTTATTTTATCTAATTATATTATTATATTTCATTATATTTTTTATATAATTAAACTCTCTGTGAAAAAATGATTCAATAGATTACTGGTCCAGAGGTTATAGGGACCGAAAATGATTCTAAATGGAGATATCAAGGATTTATTTCTAGAAATATAATGCACAACAAAAATATAAGCATTATCGGAAATCACCAAATAAAATAAAATAAATAAAATAAATAAAAATAAATGTAATACGGAAAGAATTCAAGAACACTGTATATAAAAAATAAAATTTCTTCAATAAAATTTTTTCATATTATAAGCAGTCAATTATTTGATATGCAAATAGTACAAAATTATTTTTTTCTCTTTTTTAATATATTTATTATTCTCTTTTTCAATATATTTATTATATTTTTATTATTATTAATATATTTATTATTATATTTTTAATATATTTATTATATTTATTATTGCAAAACCATTTTATTTACGTATCAAAAAAATTACTATGGGAAAATATGAGAAAATTTTCTCTTGGACAAAAAAATATTTTGTATATAATATTTTATACACCTCCATGCAAATGTAAGCCCAATGCAGATGGGCAATATGTGGCTGCCAGATTGAATTATATAAATATTATATTGAATTGAATTTTTGCGATTAACTCGCTTTTGCCTACATTCGCTATTTTTATTAACCATTCTCCACATTCGCTTTATTTTATTTGTTAAATAACTAATTTCATTTATTATCGTAAATTGTAATTTTTGATTAATATTTTTATTGTGGCACTCTTTTCCGACAAGAATAATAAAAATCACAAAGTATAGAAAAAATTTTAAAAGAATATTAAAAAATTTAAAATTATATATATATATATATATATATATATATATATATATAACCATATTTCTCCAAGCAACACATTGAACAACTGCATATTTGTTAGTTTTTATTAAAGATTAATTTTTATTTTTACTTTTGCTCTAGCAATATTAATATTAATGAAGAAATTTTTGAGAAAATTGCGATACTCCAGCTTATTAGATTTTAATTTTTCACGAATGATTTTCGTTATTATCTTGGCATATTTAGTAATTAATCCCTATTAAATGTGATATACATCCTAATATTATAGAATTTTCAATATATATAGTCGTGAATATGTTATCCATTAGTTATGAATATCAATACAAATATCAATACGAATTCTATATTTAAAATAAAATATAGAATTATTGCGAAAGAATCCAATTATTAATTATTCATTTTACTACAACGTTTATTATTTATTGTATTGCAATAATGTTTTAGCAAAAAACAATGTAATCGCAGACATTGCAGATTTCACATATCCACTGTATATCCACTGTATACTATATCTTAAAAGTGATCTTAAATTCAGATCACTTTTAAATATTCAAAAGTGGGACAAAATTTTAAATTTTTGGTATTTCATTTCTTAATCTCTCATCTAAAAAATTTTTAAGCTATCATATTATCTCCCAATATGAATAAAATAAAGCCACTTTTTTTTCCACCATTCCATTTGGTGTCAAGCTATTTATATAGCTAAAATATTTGTTAATCCAGCCTTCCGCTCTTGATGTTATAACGGTCGAGATGCTAGTGAAAAATAACTGACGGTAATACGGCAATATTTATAAATATTCGAATTATAAGTATTCGAGATTCATATTGCGGAATATTACGCGATATTACTATGCGAGAGAAATTTGCAACCACGGAGCCATTTAGAGATTTTCGTTTTGAAACTGATTTCATGTTGAATCCAAAAGAACCAGATGAATGAAGCGTCTAGCTACTAGCTGAAATTTTGTCTTCCATCATTAGTTATGAATATGAATAAGAAAAGTAATGCTTTTTAAACATCTTAATTGTTTTATTTTATCCTATCTGGTATTTGAAACGAAAAATTTTTTTATAATAATTTAAATGATGCCAAATTATGCAATGAATGAAGTTTCAATTCCTCATAGCTATCAATGAAAAACCACATCATTAGCGTATTCTCGATTAAAAAATCGCAGAATAATAATAAAACATTGATGCACAATGGTAATTCAAAAAAATCTATCGGCTCCCAATAGGTACAACCAGCGTTCATCTAAAATATTTTGACAATATTCTTTGAAACATCGTATTATATCACTTGCCAGAAATGTAAAAAGGTGGACAATTATGTTCATATTCATTCATTTATAACTAATGGTGAAAGAAAAAATTTCAGTTATCAACAGGATTCAAAATCAGTATAAATAAAATGAAAAATTTTAGAAAAAATTTAAATTTATTTGATTTTCTTTTCTTATATACAAAATGCTGATAAAATACTATTTTATCAATTCATTGCCAGTTAAAAAAGTGTTGGACTTTAAATACCTTGGATTCATTCCAAATAGCCAGGCAAAAGATGAAACCATTGTTACTCGAATAATGACAGCTAAAATCATGAATTATGTCGATGAAACCTCGTGGAACCATAGCGAATTTACTATAAAGACGAAAAGACGAAATCGCTCCCGTATAGCTGCAATTCGTTCAATCTTGCTATATGGAAATATGGCCAATAAGAGTGGGAACTATATCGTTCGGTAGTTCATTTCAGTAATTAATATTACAAATGAAGGAAATGAAGAAATCGTGTCTCCTTAGTTTAGTTTCGCACATAAGGAGGTTTTAGTAATTTTAGCCCATTAGTTTTTGTTGGTTTGTTGTTTTGTTAAAATTTTAAATTTAACCTAAAATTATAATATTTTGAACGATATAATTTAACATAACCATACAAAATCTTATAACCATAAATTGTTCGTATCTTATTTAATACGAACTGACAGAGAATCCAGGTTATATTCTAGAAGTTTTCTTTTATAATTAATTAAAATAATAAATAAAATTTTAATTAGGAGAGAGGCGCCGTATAAAATTTTTGGAATTCTTCAATTATTTTACTTCAAGTAAAATAATTGCGATATCTTGGGGAGTAATATATAGCAGCATTGTCTTCAAGAAGTGGCCGAACGAACGCTTTTTAAGAAAACTTTCTTAAACGAACGAAAAATAAATTTAATATCTTTGAGGGTTTCTTTACCATGGTTCTGCAATGAAGATCGAAATCGAAATTTTCAT